CCCCAGGGTCCGGGGGAGAGGGGGGGAGGGGGGGCTGGGAGCCAGGACTCCTGGGTTCTCTCCCCAGCTCCGAGGGGGGGGGCGTGGGGACCAGTGGTTAGAACAGATGCATGTGAAGATCCAGGAGCCTGGCTTCTGTTCCCTCGGAGGAAGGGGGCTTGCAGTGTGTATGTGTGGGGGTGTGATTGGATTAATAAACATGTCGATTGCTCTAATGCCCAGAGTTGGGCCTATGCCCCAGGAGTCGTGACGCCCGGGCTGTCCTTACAGCAGCCCTGTGGGAGGCTATAAATAGCAGCCCCAGTGTTCAAATGGCCATCAGTAGGTTCCAGGATTAACAGCCCATCTGCTGCCTGGGAATGAGGCAAATCCCTGAAAGTTCACCTGGCTCCTGCCCAGACTACAGCTCCCACTGCCCCCTTGCAGGACTAACATTACCCATGGTGCTTTGCAAAGCTGCTGGGCCATCCCAGGGAGGGGGAGTGGGGTCTAGCGGGTTAAAGCTGTGTGGGGTGGCCGGGAGGAGCTGGGAGCCAGGACTTTCCCAGGCTCTCTGGGGTCTCTGTGGTGAGTGGTAGGATACCTGGGGCCCATCTCCAGCTCTGGAAGGAAAGTGGGGGCTAGTGGTTAGAGGGGGGTTGGGCGTCAGGCTGGCTTAGCTGGGTTCTTCTGCCCACTTGGGCTCCTACAGATCCCGTAAAAGTCCTTCCCTCAGGGGTCACCGTGGGGTAAACTCAGCTCCCCGCGTGTAAATCTTGCACTCTCCCTGGAAAAATGCATGACAGTGAATGGACTCACTCCGGCTTCACACCCATTTACATGTCATTTGGGTGCTCGGCCCCTCTGGGAGCTGATCTGGTAAGCACAGGCTCAGCTCATGCCTTTCCGATCAGCCCTATACGGGCACTGCTTACCCCACGGGGCCAAAACTGCCGGCAACAAATTGCTCATGGCCCTGAAATAAAAGGTGCTGCTTGGATTATGTCCTGGCCACACTGAGTTTGCACACAGCTGGGTCCAGCCGCATTCCTTCTTCGGGACGCGTCTTCCCAGGTCCCAGCACGCCGGCGGATCGGCGTGGTGTCCATGCCACAGCTCCTCGCCATGTGGCTTCCGGGCTGGGCTTGGCTTTTGAAGTCTTCCCCTCTCATGGCCCTGAAATAAAAGGTGCTGCTTGGATTATGTCCTGGCCACACTGAGTTTGCACACAGCTGGGTCCAGCCGCATTCCTTCTTCGGGACGCGTCTTCCCAGGTCCCAGCACGCCGGCGGATCGGCGTGGTGTCCATGCCACAGCTCCTCGCCATGTGGCTTCCGGGCTGGGCTTGGCTTTTGAAGTCTTCCCCTTGGAGTGCCGGTCTCAGATTATTCTCTTACCTGGGGACAGCGGTGGGCAGTGCCGTGGGACCGGCCTCTCCAGCGTGGCGGTGACGGAGTGTGAGGTTTTCATGAGCCAAACCACCCCGGGCCGAACCATGCCACGTGACCCACCTTCGGGCACGTTTTCCGCGGGGGGGTTTTGATGCGCTGGAGGGACACACGTTTTGTCGGTGCGCGCACAGCCAGGGATAAAGCATCGCAGAGCTGGGCCCAGATGGATCGACCTTCTGCCGCTATTCGCACAGCGCCGAGCGCAGCCTGCGATCTTCACCACCAGGCAGGGCGCGTAGGGGTGGGGCAGCTGGCTATGGGGAAGGCCAGGCGCGGAGGAGTGCAGGAATGTGAGACCCCAGGAAAAGCGGGGCAGCGAAAGCTTTGGGGGATCGCCTGGCTCCCTGCCTGGCCACACGCTCCCGGTGAGCAAACGGGGCCTTGGGATGTATAAACGGGGTTGCTTTACCTCTGTGTTTGGCTTGGAATTTGCGCCACCATGGGACTCGTCCCCACGCCACCCCTTGCCCAAGCCCCGCCTCCTCCCTCAAGTCTCCACCCACGCAGTCGTTGGCCCCGCCTCCCACCCCTCCGGTCCGAGCACACGGCGCATGATGCCCCCAGCGAGCCGCTCAAAGGCAGTGCCAGGGATGTCGCTGACCACAGAGCAGGTTCCGGGGTGACCGGGGCCCAGTCTAGACATAGCTGTGCGGGAAGCAAAAAGTTCAGGGGTGACTGGTCCAGAAGCCTCCAAGAGCTGGGCGCTGACGTTAGCCTAGTTCGCACTGGAGCCAGGGTGCATCTTGTCAAAGGCAGGGGGTTCTGATCTTGGAACAATGGTCACCGTAGAGCGGCCAGACGGGGTGCGGCCAAAGGTCCATCTAGCCCAGGGTCCTGTCTGCCAGGTGCCCCAGAGGGAGTGAACAAAACAGGGAACCATCAACTGATCCCTCCCGTCACCCACTCCCAGTTTCCCACAGAGGTTAGGGACTCCATCCCTGCCCATCTTGGCTAGTAGCCATTGATGGACCTAACCTCCCTGAATTTAGCTGTTTTTCGAGCCCTGTTAAAATCCCGGTCTTCCCAACATCCAATGGCAAGGAGTTCCACAGGTTGACACTGCGTGGCATGAGGAAATACTTCCTGTTTGTTTTAAACCTGCTGCCTAGTCTACTATGACTGTCCAAGGAGCATGGTGGGAATCTCTTATCACTGGCCATTGTGAAATGAAGGTTGCTGTGGTTTTCTAAGAGATCCGCTTTAGGGGTTGATTGGGGGCAGGCTGCTGGTTTTGCTCAGAGGAGGTGATTACGGGTCCCTTCTGGCCTAGGAATCGCTGAAGCTGCGGTGGGTGGTGGGTTTCCTGTCTTCATGGGCCTCTTGTGGGTTTCCCAGGTGAGCCAGTAACGAGCAACCGGGGCGCTTTGGAGCAGGGGGTCTCTGTGTTGTCTCTGAGACCCCGACCTTCACGGGCCACGCCCGTGGGTTCCCCCGCCGCATGGAGACCGAAGAGAGGGCCATGCGGAAAGCGATGAGTACAGAGGCTGCCTGCCGCAAACCTTTGGGCACACTTCCGACGGCCGGCGGAGGATGCTGGATTGCTGGTACACACGCACACCCGTCACAGGCCGACGAGAGCCCTCCCAGGATCCGGGAGGGGCGTGGGGGCTAATAAGTTAGAGCGGGGAGCGGGGGGGAATGGAAACCCATAACCCGTGTGACAGAAGAACACAGCTGCTGCTATGCCAATAGGTCTTTATTACAAGAAGGGCCAGGAACACAGGGCCCCGGCTGGGGG